TAACACAACATAATTGAAGCACACACTTTGGGTATATGAACATGTAAACTGTCGCATTCGAGTTGACAAGACACTTTTAACTGTAAAGTTCGTAGAATAAGAAGATTACTTTCGATTGCGTCTGGTTTTGTTATTTTCCATTGAACAATATATGTATTTTTTAGCAGTTCACAATTTTTAATTAACATTGTTTAAGAACAAGATTCGTTAATGTAGTTCATTTCTCCGCTGCGCATGGTCAGTAGTAGTTTTGTTTTTAACATTGTCTACGCCGTATGTCAAAGTATACATATACAAATATACAAATATGTATCAATTACGCATGGTTTTCAAATATTGTTGCCGACTCTGTAGCAAACGGGCTTCTGGGAGAAAGTATAAATATGTTGTGAACACTAGCGTTGTGTTTGATAACACTTACACGTAGAGATACCTGGTTTGCCTCAAATGAATACACATTAGTCCAGCTTTATTCGTCAAAACCGTCAGTTGAGATAACGCCTCGCTGTCCACATCCCACTTTCTGCCCTTGCAAATCTTACCAACTCTGTCATAAACCAGAACGGCGTGGAAAAGTAAAAAATGTGATCAGCCAATCACTGCAGTCGTTGACACGATCGCGTTATTACCAGGGACGTGTCTCACAGTTAAAACTTTGCAAAGTTGTCACTATTTATATTCTATATTTAAGCTATGGTTCCACCTTTAGACTTTCGTAACACAAACTTGACACGTCAAATATCGGCACCGGTGAGTTTCGAAAGCCAACTGCTTAGTCAAATCCCAACCAGTTAGCTAATTCGAGACTTGCTGTACATGTCATTTAACATAAAACAATTTGAAGCAAAGAAAGAAAGTGTTACAAAATCCACGACAACGATGCCAACGATAACAAAGAGGACAAATACCTTTTCCTACAATTTTAATAATATACAAAAGGTCAAAATAGAAATAATAAAACCAAGAAGGTGATTTGTTTTCCGGCAGTGGTCACATTTTCATGATTTGTTAAAAGAAGCATTAAACATTAAAAAGCATATTTATGTACAGCTTTACGTTCTTAGAGTTAATCCTAATTGTTAAATTCAGGTTAGCGAACCAAGATACACCCAACTTATGTGTTGATATTCTATACGCCTATACTTTGGATGCGGCTCATTTCGAAAGGCTTTACTTTCGGTGCCTCAAATGTTGAATGTATATATAGTATATCACTACAATATGTTGCATAATTCGCGACATATTTTACATGAATTATGCAACAGCAGAGTCTACAAAGACGCCATATATATATATTAAACCCAACGCCAATTTGTAGCCAAAAATCTGATGAGTGTGTCAACAGATTTAAAAAGGAGCATTAGGAAAATGTAATTTTTGCAAATAACTTTTGAAATAATGTATTAAGTATAATTCTGCAAAGAGACAAATAAATGTCTTTATTGTATAAATGTGTGATTTACCTACGCCCGTGTTCCCCGAATCCGAAATTATTGAAACTTCCTATTCATAATGTTAACCCTGGTTATAGTGTGGTGTGTAAATTTGGTACCCAGAATTCGAATGTTCTCCACGTTGGACTAACAAAAAACCACAGAAGCTCAATTCGTTTCACCTTCGATTCCCCGACTGCCTCGTACTCGTTCGCTAAGACAGCTTCAAATCACTTTATTAACTTCTCAACTTCTTAGCCAATTACAAGGAAGTATCAAAGCTGTAAGGCGTTGCCTCCAAACAAACAGCCAATCACACGAAAGTTTTACATGTCATAACACAATTGATTATTTTTTACTACTATCATAGTGTCAACGTCAGTTTATATTTATAGACGCCAATGGTTTTGCAATAACATTCCACAGTTGACATTCATACACATCATTCGTTCAGGACCCTGGCCACATACCCTCCAAGATGTCGCATAAGCTTGGGAATTACAAGCTCACGAGAACGTGTCGACGGATCTCAGCCAGTCCTGCCATCTGGCCTTAATCAGCCAGCCTTTATCAGTGAATGTCATGGCAACTACCAACAAGCAGAAATATAAATCATGACAAGACAGACCCTTGGACATTATAAAACAGATTTATGTTAATTTCTGTTCTATTCAGAATAGATAACTATGGAATGAGAATGAGGCTTTTCTGTAATGAGAAACTCAGTATTCTGACGCAAACCGATCACGCTATTCACTGTACTATCAAAGTTTACCTATTAATAAATGAAAAAATAGGAACCCTTCAAGCGAGTTTTCAGAATATAATTAAAATGATTGAACACCGTATTTTTTTTTCTTTCCCACGTACTTAAGTAGTTCACAATTATACACTCAGAAGACTGGGGTTACGTAGGTATACTACATAACTGTGTTACTTCTGATACATTTAACAACAATCCGTTTACATTGGCGAGGATACTTGACCAAGTACAGTAACTCATTTGTGTTATTTCTGCGTTGACAGGCATTATTTCCAGTTTTAGTGTTATCCTAATGGAAATGAATTCAATGTTTTATATGTAAATTAGCTCCGTGTATATAACAGATGACGACGTTTATGCGCATTCATTGGTTTTGTTTGCAGTTTCGATGGCTGTTTATTTATGAAGACTTTCGAGTTAACATTTTTGAAATGTCTTCATTAACTTTGTAGATTTTGAGTTTACATTGTCTTTCTAAACAGCATCAACACATTTGATGACAAGTCAATATTTTGCAGTTTGTATAGTTTGACCTTCATTTAAATTCAAATACTTTTTATACAGCAATACTAAGCATTTCCAGTACATAACAACACGCTTTGTACGAATGGTTTTCCCAACGTTCACAACCTTAATAATTGTCGTCTTTCATTGAATCACTTTCCCTGCAAGTAACGTGTTACGTGTCGGTCTGTCAGTAATGCTCAATGAATACTAATAAACCATTTTACAACTCATATTGATTAATCTACCATTTGGGAATTCACGAGTTAACTACCTTCATTATGTATTAAAGAATCCTGCAAGGTATAATGAATAACTAGGACATTTCGGTCATGTCGGGAATCGTGTCGTGACTTTTGCGAATTCAATTTCGGATGCGTGATAAACACACCTTACCAACTAAACTAGGAATTACGTAAGGTTCAATTTTCGCTCGGACGCATTGGTAACATGAGTAAAAATAGTCGTCTTGTGTTGTCAGTCGTTTGTTTTATATCTTGTGTACCCCTATATGACGATTCTTAACATATTTATAATTGGATATTTTATCTCCACTTTTTATAAACAAAGAGACAACTCACGCGCGGCTTTAGGGGGGAAATAATTTACAAATAAATTGACAAACCCAGCTCACCGGAAGTGCGCGGACGTGGTTCGGCCACGCCAATAGGAGCGCGCCTCCCTTATCGAATTTCTGGACCCGTGCCTGGTGTGCATTTCAGACTAATGGGAAATGCTTCACATCAGAATTGATTTCGTAATATAGTTCTTCTTCGATCTTGGGGCAAAGAATTCCGTGCGATTCGAAAACTCAATCATAACCCAAACTGCTCGATAATGTTATCGAGATATCTTGTAACTACCATAGCTGTAGCTGTGCCACAGAAATTGAACTTTAGCTTGAGTATCTTCCAGTGTGTATGTGTATGTTATAAACAAACAAAACACACTATAAACAATGTCAGAGGCTCATTTGTGGATTAAGAGCACGCCAACACAGTGCGACAGCTATACACGAACAAACCAAAACTATAGAAGCTATTTAAGTTAAGATTTGTGTTTTGGAAAGTTGTATTTATTTATTTAAATAAATAATGCGTAATTCCGTCATTGCGTTTCAACGCCAAATTCTATATTTCATTAGTAATGTGCAGCCTTGCAAATATTAACAAAAAACATTTTTGTATTTTTTCCGTTAATTTGAATGTTTGAAAAGCTCTGAAATGTTACGCCAAAACACATATATAAACCTGAACATTAATAATGCATCTATTACTTAGACATGCTATAAAATTGCGTTGTATTGAATTTCTCAATTTCCAGAATGGTAATATATGCATATTATTGTTACTGCGAAATGACATTCGATCTGAAATATGAATATTTCATTAATAGTAGGAGCCATAATGTCCGGTCGTATTAATGCATGAAACAGCTGAACGATGAAAAAACGGAAGTTATGCTAATCCGTTCCAAATATGACCTGTCTCCCAATCCACTTATAAATGTTTTCAACTTGAATCTACATCTATCTATCTATCTATACTTGTACTGACAAGTCGCTCGTAATATTGGAGTAATATTTGATGACACCCTTCAGTACAGAAAACATATCACCACTATATGTCAAAGTATGTACATGCACATCCGACGTATTGGACACATCCGACAGTATCTATCCGCTGAAACCTGTTCTAAATTAGTATGTTCCATTCTTGTTGCTAAACTGGACTATTGCAATGCCTTACTATATGGCTTACCCGGCACACAAATACATCTACTTCAAAGGGCACAGAATTGTGCTGCTCGTCTCATTACACGTTGAAAAAAGTTCAACCATATTACCCCTGTTCTACATCAAATACATTGGCTCCCAGATCATACTACACACATACAATGCACTTCATGGATCAAAACCAACCTACATATCAGACTTGATTCAACTCCATTAAACTGGTAGAACTCTTCGTTCAAGTAATACATCTATACTTACAGTGCCCAGAATCAGACTCAAGACATATGGCGATCGCTAATTCTCGCATGCTTCTCCGTCATTATGTAATCAGTTACCAAAAGACATTCGTTCTGCAGCCAGTTTGAACATTTTCAAATCTAAACTCAAAACTTATATTTTTCAGAGTGCATTTCTGTGAACTGACAGCGTCATTGGGCATCATCGTCATAGATATTAGGCGCCATACAAACTCGTAATTATTATTATTAAGTTTTCTAGTATGTTCTTTTGAGCTGCGGTTGACACAGAACGATAACCATACACACAAAACGTACCAAATCATTACCAACAACACGCATAAAGTCCAAGTCTGCTTTTTTCAGCAGGTTCAACAATTTTCTGTATCTCTTGCAGACTTGGGTTTCCAGGAATTTTATCAAAATGTTTTAGGGTGTTTTTGTTGACAAGACCAAGTGCTCCAACTACCACGGGTACGATCATTGTCTTTAAGTGCCTCATTCTTTCAACTTCCATCTGTAAGTCTTTGTACTTTGACAGTTTGTCAAGTTCCTTTGCTGCTACATTTCTGTCATGTCAATCATCTTACAGGTCTTTTCATTGTGCTCCTTTATTATGATATCTGGTCTGTTAGCTTGGATGGTTCGTCAACAACTTGATATGGTTAAGTTTGTGTTCATACCACTTATCGGCACAGGGGAGACCAAAATGCTGCCATATTTTCCAATGGATATACTGACCAACACGGTCATGTTTGTGTATTCGTTTGCTAGTAGGGAACATCCAGAGACCAGATGATCAATAGTCTCATTATATATTTATCACAAAACCGACATTTAGGGTCTGCATTTCTGAGTACATTGACTTGGTAGTTCCTGGTGAAAAGGCTTTGATCATTGCAGCCATGATAAAACCCTTTGTTTCAGCTTTAAGCCCAGCTCCGGGTAGCCACTGATGGGTGTTTAATTTATCTACATCAGCGATTTGCGTGCTGTCCATGTAAAGGTTTGTTTTTCCCATCATTCCTTGATTAACTTGAGTTCTTCTGCTTTCGCTGCTTTAGTATTCATTTTCGTGATATCCAGTAGATTCCAGTTGATGATGTTGAAATTATATGTAACCAGCAAGAGTGTTAATCGCCTCGACTTAGTTTGCAGAATTCAATTCTGTTTTTAGTACTTCCTTTACTCGTCTTCAGAATTCCTTCTTGACCTTTTCTTTCATAGCGGCGTGTTGTATACCTTTGCCTTTATTGACTCCAAGGTATTTATAGACCTCCTCCTGCTCGATGTTACGTATAAGATTGTCATCACCAAGATTAACGTTAGTGGAGTGGACAAACTTTCCTCTTTTAAATGTTGCTTTAGCACATGTATTTAATTCAAATCACATTCCAATGTCATCGCTAAACTGTTTCACAGTTTGCAGCAGTCCTTCTAAATCTAAGTCATTTTTAGCAAATAACTTGAGGTCGTCCATATAAAAAAAGAGGTGGTCGCTAATTTTATACCCATATCCAGTGTTGTTAAGTTCTAACGAACTAAACACAATATTATGAAACTATTTATATTCGTAACTTCTTCGTTTTCCCACACATCGCATAAATCACTGAAAACTTTTTCATTTGATGTACCCATGTTGATTTCGATTGTTTAAAGCATGTCATAACATTTCAGTGTAAATAAATATCGGATATATTCCTCTTTCTTCTCAAACGGCTATATTTAGAACTTAACCTGTAACACCACCAGGAAAAAGAAAATGCTGGGATATTTAAAGATGATCATACCAAAATCCACAAATTTCAGTCCCGTAAGTTATTATAGGTTGTAGTTTCTTAATGATTAAGGAAGACTTCATAAGAAAACATACCAGTGTTTTTTCGTTATATGTACAGTCGCTTGTTTTATATTTACGCAATAACCCCCGCCAAAGGCGTGTATACCACGAGATATTGCACATTTACGACATATATCCACGAGCCGCAGGCGAGTGCATATATGGAGTGAATTGTGTAAATATTAGTAAGTGGAAATAAATAGGTTGACAGATTCTAAGCTATTAATTGTATGCAGTTTGCAATCACTGTCACATGACTAAAAAATATGGAGATTTACAGGAAACACAATAAAGTATGATATAAAAAATAGTAATATAGAATATGTATAAAATAATATAAAATATAACAATCTTTGGTGTATCTTATTCTTTGTTTATATTCCTGTATTTCCCAGCTACTTCTTCCTTTTTTCCTCTTCGTTCTTTAATCTGTATCCTTCTGTTCCTATTCTAAAACATCCTTTTCTTACATCTCACTTTGCTCTCCTTCTACTTCTCCATCCTCCATTCTCCTCCCTTCTTCCTCTTCTTCTTCCTCCTCCTCCTCCTCCTCCTGCTCCTCCTTCTGTATACAGTATTGAAGTTTGAGTTCCTTACAAATGTTTACAACTTTCTTTCTGTCCAGTGAAGCGGAGGATCACAGTGAAGTGTGGTATACAGTGACAACAAGATCTGGGAGACAAGCAGGCACTTGGAGACATGCGCTGTTTCGCTGATTTGTAGAAACATTTATTTTTGCACTCAATGACTATTATAGTATGCAGACAATCTACACCAACAAAGTATTACTAAACTAAATAATTAACTATAAAAATGTTTTTAAAAAGAACTGCAAATAGGGGGGTCACGTCACATTTAGTCTTTGTCCATGGGGGGGTCACCATAATTTTCATTGTGGATACAGGAGGGTTATTGACTTTGTTTCTACATTTACAAAACAATGATTGGTCTCTTATATTATACCAGTATATTTACAATTCGATAAAACTAGTAATAAAAAAGGAGTTTACTTTCATTTACTAAAAGATCATGATTGTGGCCCTTGAACATGAATATTTATGAGAATAGTATGTAGTTGTACGCTGAATGCATACAAAAATTACATGCGCAACACAGTTCAAATTGAATACAAACTAATTTTTATTCCGCGTGAAAAAGAAACGTATCCACGGTGAATAGAGCAGTATAAAAACAAACATTAGCATGACAAAAGATGACCCTTCTGACTTTTTACTGACTGCGCCAACGCCATTTGAAATACAGGTTCGTGTACAGTTTGGATCATTAAAACAACGGATTTTCCACGTTTTCATTCCGGTTTTTGTACAATTTGGATTGTAATTTGCCCATTGAAAGTACAGTTGTGAAATAAACCGCTTTTGTGACTCATCATACTACTTGTAACTGTGGATATTTGACGTTGAGCGGTACTTGGTTCGACCGAAATTTGAGACGCGGCGGAACCCGGTATATCATGTACGGCGAACGGCACGGTTATCTCAGTTCCAACATTTGACCTGGATACCTTTCGTATAACCCAAGTTTTGTGACAGTATGACTGACACGTTTTGTCGTTGTTCCGCGGTAAATTTGAGAGTGTAAGATCGGTTTCTGGCATCGTTTTTGTGACACGTACATGATATGCCTTGTCTCAACTCCGGCTGAAAAAAAGACTTTGCACACCGTCGCTCTAATGCAGTGAGAGGTGTACACTCTGCACAAATCTGCAGCTTTCGAAATTACCTTCATCATCTCCTGTAATTTATTTACCCATAAATGGAGAATTACAATACCATATATCGTCGTCAAATTCTGCATGATCCCGTGTTCAGGTGGCAATTACCCGGTTGCAATTTCACTGCAATTGTGTCAGCTAGAATTCGAACGCCGCCACGGGACACCGTTTGTTATTGGTGGAATACATGTTTGACTGTCACTCGTAGTTTTTTGCATTTTTTTGTCCTTCAATCGCTCAATTTCATCTAGTACTTAAAGATCATGTTTTCTTTGTTGGAGATTCGCAATCCATCTCAAAGTCACAACACGGAGAACACGGCGTTCGTTTACACACCCAATGGTGTTGAGGGACGGTGGTTTAGGTTTGTGTGGCGAACGACAATCATCCAACGACCGACGTTCACAACTTGGATCCCACCATTAACAAAAATCAATATCATGGTTATATAACTTTTCAGATTTTTTTAATTCAGTATTTTTTCAATATTCTTCCAAAATTCAACCACTAGCCACTATATTTCCCTAACAATCAAATAATGTGTTTGAACCAATTAAATCAATGGATTAACACCATCAATATACTGGTATAATATAATATTGTATATATCCGTATATGACGATTGTTAATCGATCTATAATTAGATATTATCTCCACTTTTTTGAAAAAGAACAACTCAAGTGCCTGGTGTGCATTTCTGACTAATGAAAAATGCTTCACATCAGAATTGATTTTGTAATATAGTCCTTCTTCGATCAAGGAGCAGAGAATTCCGCGTGCGATTCGAAAATTCGATCATAACCCAATTTACTGAATTGCTCGATGATGTTCGGATAAAGGCAAACAACTACTAACGTAGATATCTTTTGAATACCGTAACTGTAGCACACAAATTAAACTTTAGTTTGAGTATCTTCCAGTGTGTCACCCAGTTTGACACATTGTTATAAACAAACAAAACACACTACACACACATGTATAAACAATGTCAGATGCTCACCCGTGGATTAAGAGCACGTCAACACAGTTCGGCAGCTATACATACAGAAACCAAAAATATAGAAGCTATTTAAATTAAGATTCATGTTTTGTAAAGTATTATTTATTCAAATTAAATAATATGTGATTCCATTATTGCGTTTCAACGTCAAATTCTATATTTCATTAGTAATGTACGGGCTTGCAAATATGCATATATCCACGAAAAGACATTCTTCATTTTTCCACGTTAATTCGATTGTTTGATAGCACTGAAACGCCCACACACATATATATACCTAAACATTAATAGTGCATCCATACCTTAGACATACTGACAAACTATGTCATGTTTAATTTCCAGAATTACATATGTGTATCATTGATGATTCAGGATGTAGACCTGATGATCATATATTCGATTTGAAATGAGAACTTCCTCTTCTGATTTTAACAAGTGACCACAAGCTAAAGCTTACTTAATCATACTTAATCATACTTTTAGTTCCAGTTTGTTTAAAATACACTCAAAACCCTATATGGATTTAGGGAAAAAAAGTAAGTCATCAGCAAACATTGCACGACATTGTTGATACGTGTGATATAATTAGCTACGTTGATTTAGAAAGGTTTATTTACGACTCCCGAATACACAGCGGTGTTTCAACAATCGATGTCATGGCGTTAATGACATTGACACCATAGAGCCAAAACTCCAAAACTATTGCTACCCAATTATGGGCTATCAATAATATAAGAGTATAAGTGTTTCATTCTTGTGGTGCCTCACTGGGTGAATTGCATTAAAGTTTGAGATCCTTCTACGATTGGTCACAATAACAAGATTTGAACCCTGTTTCTTTGAATTGATAGACGCCATCCGACTAACTAATGCATTGAGACCAAAGAATTTATTTGAATTTGGAAGTCATTGGTGTATGCGTTTGTGAAAAAAATATTTTGCCATTTCATTGTTTTGCCCATTGCGCTTTAACTTCTTGAGAACTATAAGTCTCTTTCAGTATAATAATGTCGCATTTTAAGCGTTTTAAACACGTACATAATTTGGTTCTTTTTATATTGTTTCTTATACCTCTCACATTAATTGAGAGAAATTTAATTGAGAGATCATTTAGACAAGCTATATTCCATGCCTTAATTGGATTACTGTGTACCAGATCATAAATAAAAATACAAAAATAATTGAGAGATTGAAAAACCTGAAGTAGCAGTTGACAGCATAAGCTGAGAGGACAAAATGACAAAACGAAAGAAATAAACAGGACATCCGTATAGTAAATATGATACAAAATATGCATGTGACTATCAATATACTAGTAATGCACAAACAAACAAAAACAGATGTTCGTCGACCCTCCGACATTCGAAATGATAAACAGTTGGAGAAGCGCGTTCATGGCCCTACCCCGCATATATGCTGCAATTGCAAGCAGTTCGTTTTGTATATCTCCCCCTTTCCTTTGTTCCCATTGGCTCAAAAGTTATCATAAACTGCATACTATAGTAAGATTACTTTTGAGATGAGCAACTACTTAAATATCCCAATACAGTCACCATTACTTACATGCCAGAAGTGAAAAAAAAGAAATAATTCGATAAATACAGCCATGCTGGTATGCAACTTGTCCATGAACCTATAGCAAAATATAACATTATTTATACAATAATTAGTCATAACATTACGACAGACTTAAATTATAGATGAAACTGAATCCCTTAACTGATAATAGTAATAATATTATAAAACAAGACATGAAATGTCACAGACCCCGTTATTTGATTATAAAGTAGTACGAGGAACATCTGCAAACAGGTGAATAAATATGTACTCTTTGTGGTTACAACTAGTTTTGTACTGACAACTAAAAACTTCCACTGACCCATGTTCAGAATTTCAAATACACAAGTGCAACAAATTTATTTGTCATACATGTATACCTGCTCAAGAAACTGCATTCATAAATCTGAGTGAACCTTGATGTACATGACTTCTTTGTTAATCAGGTCATAGTATATTACCAGGACCTGGATTTGTTTCAACATCACCACTGAGCAGTTCACAGCACCACTGTAAAAAAAAAAGTTTAAAATGAGTACAGTCAAAGATATACACATGTGGGTTCATAAGACATATGTACCAATATGAGTTGGTTCTAGAGATTAGTATCACAAGATTTTACTCTCCGTGATTCAATATCAGTCCTATGTATAACGCTGTGTTGATCAGGTGAACTCATTGACAATGGTCCTACAGGTATCACTATGAAATCACAGTAGTTTTGTATTCTTCTTGCATTTCGACCGTGGAAAAATATTTGTTTTTAAAAGTGGCCAAATTATTAGAAGAAAAACAGAAACTATTTTTTTAGTATACATTATATATACATTCAATAACCTGATACATAAAATCACATTTGTTATTGCTCAATCACTTGACCCTGTATGGCACAAGATCGCAAGCTTCTATCATAAAATTGTGTTATTTATTTGATGCAACGAAACATGCATTCACAGCAGACGAAAATTCGATTGAGATATTACTGGATTTTTGTATTCAGTTTTCCATTTCAACCACCAGCATCACTTAGTAAGCTGTGATCGCGCATTGGGATACTGATTGTGCATAAATGCGCAGTGTAGTGTCATCAGAAGACCGATTGTTTGAGAATATTTTGCACCATTACGCCATTTCAAATATTATATTAATTCACAGACAACAAAATAAAGATTTTCAATAACATACAAGTTTTCCCACAGTTGATGATTGTATGGCAATTACAAGGCTTCGCCAGTTTTACTCTGGAAGAAGTTGAAAACAGGTAATAGAAAGGGGCTACATGAATACATATTTTTTTGGAATTTTAATCAAGCATGATTTTTTTAATTTTTTTAGAAGAAACAGAAAAAAAACAATAAATGTGTAGGTAGGCATTTTAACAATTGCACAATTAATATTGGATGAAAACGTCATTACCGATATAAATCATAATCATAATTAAAAATAAGATCACATTTAATTAACATCATGAAATACATAATAACATGTACTTGAATTGAATCCCCCCAAACATTTTTATAATCTTGTTGATAACGAAAAGTAAAGTATGTTCTAAAAGAAGTTTCGAATAAATACAAACCGGTAGCAAATGATCACGGTAGCACAATCTGGTCATTCTGTGTTTCGCAAGTGAATAACTTTTTCGAAGTATTGCAATTGTTGATTATTATTCAGTAATGATTATAATAACGCACACAAATTTAAGGCACGGTTCTAGAAGCCGTACCTACACACGAATTGGTGATGTCACAAAATACATGACCTTCAATCAGGGTCGTTTCCTCGGTATATACGAATTGGTATATACAAATTACAATAAAGATACTTAAGACATTACACATAAGGTAAAACAAATCACGTGACAATATAATGACAATAACGGTAATAAATCCTAGCTTAACAGTTGAACACAACGATCATATAGTCAGTCGGGTCACGCCGAGGGTCACGCACTTTGTTGCAAAATGGCCGTGTGGTTGAAACTGCGTTATGGCGTGACGGGTGAGGAAGACATCATTAAACACTCACAAAATCACAATAAAACGGGGAGGTGGTTGCATATTATGGCGTAGCCGACATGGAAAATAAAAAAACGCCCAATACAAACGACATGGGTTCCTCGGTATATACGAATTGGTATATACAAATTACAATAAAGATACTTAAGACATTACACATAAGATAAAACAAATCACGTGACAATATAATGACAATAACGGTAATAAATCCTAGCTTAACAGTTGAACAGAACGATCATATAGTCAGTCGGGTCACGCCGAGGGTCACGCACTTTGTTGCAAAATGGCCGTGTGGTTGAAACTGCGTTATGGCGTGACGGGTGAGGAAGACATCATTAAACACTCACAAAATCACAATAAAACAGGGAAGTGGTTGCATATTATGGCGTAGCCGACATGGGAAATAAAAAAAAACGCCCAATACAAACGATATGGGTTCGAATCACACTAGATACACACGCACCAGAACTGAAGCAATCAGAAACCAGCAATCATTTTGGCTTTTCCGTTCAACTCATCGGAACACTGGAGTAGTTAGGAAAATGAACACCACTCGTGGCGTGGTACACAAGCGTGCCATCAAAATAAAACAAAATTAGCTTGAAAAGAAAGTTGGTTCGAGTCTCGCTCAGAGCTACCGTACAAACGTAAATCAAATAAACTGAAATCCCTCAAACCGTAAACAAGTAAACAAAGAACGTTGCGAAAAAATAATAAACCTCACAAAACTCCACCATGCAAAACTGAATGAATGAATAATAAAATAACATACGTCTTAAACTGGACGACGCGCAATTTGTTCAACAGTTTTCAGATTGTGACAAGAGAACAATACAAGACCCAAGTCAAGGTAAGTTTTGTTGAAGTGTCTATGGCGTTCCCTATATTACAAAAACAATTCAGGCAACAGACGAATATCTTCTGTGGTGTTGTGGAATTTATACTGTGTCTGCGGAATTGTTGATTGGGGGTTCGAAGTCAGCAGTTAACATTTTCTTAGAAATTTTCACAATTAAATCAAATATCCAATGATACCAGTATATTTATTTCATTATTTTAACAACTTGCAATGGTGCACTAGTTCTTACACCTAAATAAGTATCAAATATTTGTCCACACATTTATTCTCTCAATTTAACAACCTTGTAGAGGTGGAAATTAATTAAACGACAGGTATTTACTCACAAATATAATGGCCAATAGTTGTCCATACATTCATTCTCTCAATTTAAGAACTTGTAATTGTTGGAATTATTCAAACGAGAGTTTTCTACACAAAAATAAGTTTCAAATACTTGTCCACACATTTATTCTCTCAATTTAACAACTTGTAATGGTGTAAAATTATTAAATGAGAGTTGTCTACACCAAAATAAGTCTCAAATATTTGTCCACACATTTATTCTCTCAATTTAACAATGTTTAATTGGTGGAAGTAAATTAAACGTGACTTTTCTACACCAAAATAAGTATTAAATACTTGTTCACACATTTATTCTCTCAATTTAACAACTTGGAATGGTGTAAAATTATTAAATGAGAGTTGTCTACACCAAAATAAGTCTCAAATATTTGTCCGCACATTTATTCTCTCAATTTAACAATTTTTAATTGGTGGAAGTAAATTAAACATGACTTTTCTACACCAAAATAAGTATTAAATACTTGTCCACACATTTATTCTCTCAATTTAACAACTTGTAATGGTGTAAAATAATTAAACGAGAGTTGTGTACACCAAAATAAATCTCAAATATTTGTCCACACATTTATTGTCACAATTTAACCACTTGTTAATAGTGTAAATTACTTAAACGCGACTTGTTTAATCAGTTGACATCAATGCAACTTACCCGCAGACAGTGCACAACAGAGTATCATTATTGAGCAATTATTAACAGGAACGTGTCTTGGCATTAGGGTTAGGGTCGGGTCAGGTATGGGCAACGCAAATGGCAAACACCCAAATGGCAAGATGTACACTAACGGGTTATGGCATGCATATAGTTTACACAAGTAACAATTGTAACTCAAGAATAGAAATATGTTGTATTTCTATATATATACACACTATATAGTCATATCAAATGCAAACACATCCAGCCAATCCATTGTGGTCTTGTGGTTTAGTTGTCTACACAGTGG